AAATGACCCAGTTTCAGGGATGTCTTTATAGCAGTGTGAAAATGGACTAATGCACAGGATGAAGGCTAAATTCTTAAAACAAAAAACAAAGACTTTCCCAATCATAGCCTTGGCTCAGCCTGATGTTTCGTCCCTGAAAATGTCAGGTTTGTTTACATGTCAGCATTCATGACATTTCCTTCAGTTGGAAGGCTTTTCTCCTTCCATTCACCTAGTAAATTCTGACTCATCCTCACAAGAACCTTATCTGATCACCTCTGACAAAATCATCTCAAAAGTTATTATATACATAAGTATAACTTCTCACAAACTTTTTTATAGGATTGGTTACATATATCTTACACATTACGGAACTATTTAATGGAAGACCAATATGTTATTTACCCAATTATCCCTCAGCCTACACATGCTACCCAGTTTAATAAGACTGTCCAATTCAATTTCACAGTGTAAAGTATATAAACTCTATTTTCCAGCTTCCACTTAAGATATAGACAGTTGGAAACAATGCTCCCACTCTTTAAACAACAATAAAATTTAGATAATTTGTAAAATGACATATTTTCTTAAACTTATTAGGCAGCTGAAGTCATAAAGCACCCAACTAATCCAAAAGTTAAAAAGAGGCAACTTATTTCAAGGAGAGAAAGAACACAAGCACTTGCTTGCAAGAGGCAGATACTAGATTCAAACAAGCTGGTAAGAATCAAACTAATATTTTCCAGTTATTGCTAAAGGCCAAGTGGACTAGCACAGAAGTACAGAACCCATGGGAGTCACAAACCAAAGGGAAATTCAAGCCCACTTAGATGGTCTTCACAGAGCTCACCAGGTACTCACAAGAAACACGAGGTGGAGAGTAGGAACAGAGAAAGCTGCTGTCATGATATAGTCATCAGGGAGAGGAACAATGGCTACTACAGGCAAAGTAAGAAGCCCTACCAATATTCTGCTCTTGAATTTCCACTATGAAACAAAAGCCTTAGGCCACTTGGGGAAGGGTAGCTAATATGGTTTGACTGAGTCCCCACCCAAATCTCATCTTGATTGCAGTTCCCATAATCCCCATGCATAGTGGGAGGGATCTGGTGGGAGGTAATTGAATCATGGGAGCAGTTTCCCCCATGCTATTCTCATAATAGTAAGTTCTTACCAGATCTGATGGCTTTAAAAGGGCCTTTCTCCCTTTACTCAGCTCTCATTCTTCTTGCTGCCACCATGTGAAGAAGGATGTGTTTGCTTGTCCTTCTGCCATTATTTTAAGTTTCTTAAGGCCTCTCCAGCCCTGTGGAACTATGAGTCAATTAAATATCTTTTCTTTTTAAATTACCCAGTCTTAGGCAATTCTTTATAGCAGCATGAAAATAGACTAACAAAATAGCAAATCCTGTTTCTTTCAGACCACAGATAAAGACACATTAAGGTGAGTGAACAGAACAGAATAAACACTTCTATCCCTGGGGACAGGGCAAGAAAAAGTCCTGAGGTCAGACCACTATAGATTCCCCTGTCTCTGGGGAGAGAGGCAGGATTACTGAGAATGTCCTAACCCCAAAACATAGGAACACAGCAACTGCCTAAGATGGAGGGCACTCTAGAACAGCAGAAAATACAACCTCCAACCAACTCAACCACATCACACTAGCAAACAATAAGTAATGCATAATAACAGGCTTTTCCTGGGAAAGGGACAAAAGCCTGAAAAGAGAGACACTCTCTGATGCATATACAAAAAGAAGAAACAATGTTAAAGATGGGGCCAATATTGACAAAATCATGTAACGTATAAGCCCCTACCCTAAACACAATGTAGTAATAGAGAACTGTGAAGCCTGTATTGCACTGAGATGAACAATAACAACGAAACAAAAACCCAACTCAAATGCTGACTAAACTGACTCAACCCCCTCACACTAAACACCTTGCATTAGAACAGACTTGCTCACTTCCAGGCAAAAAATATCACATACTTTTCCTACACATGATGTTCTATTTTCAATCATAAATTACAAGACAAACAAAAAAGAAGCAAACAAAAAAACACCCTGTCAGGAAACAAAACAATCAAGAAAGCCAAACTCAAGTATGACTCAGATATTGGAACTATCAGACAAGGAATTTTAAAATATGTGTAGTAAATATGTTAAAAGCCATAATGGAAAGGGGGAAGTGTGCATAAATTGAGGAATTTCAGCAGAGGGACTGAAACTATTTTAAAATGCCATCAAATCAAAATGCTAGAAATGACATACATGGTAACAGAAATAAAACATGCTTTTGTAGACTTGATGCTGTCAAAGAAAATATTAGTAAACTTGAAGATGATATGTTAGTAGGTACTACCCAAACTGAAATACAAAGAAGAAGAAAAAAAGCAATGAAACAAAGAAAGACATCTGAGTCGAACAACCTACTACTTGTATAACCAGAATAAATATTTAAAGAGATGATCACCAAAACTTTTCAAAAGTTATGAAAGTCACTAAACCCAAAGGCCTCATAAGCTTAGAAAACACAAGAAAAACAAATACCAAAACATACACATGCACGCATGTACACGCATAAACACTCCTATACACATTCTGCTGAAAACCAAAGATAAAGACAAAATCTTGAAAGTACCAAGTGAAAGAAACACACATACATGCAGAAAAATAAAGGAAAAAATTATAGCAGCTTTTCTCATATGAAAATTATGCAAGCCATAAGATGGTGAAATGGCAATCTTGAAGTGCTGAAAGAAAATGATTGTCAACCAAAAAGCTATACCTAGCTAAAATATTTTTCAAATAATTAAGAAAATTTATTCAGACAAACAAAAGCTGACATAATTCATTAGCAGCATATACACAATATAAGAAATGTTAAAATGAAGAATGCTTCAAATTGAATACATGAAGGTAATAAATAAAAATACCTAAAATATTTTCAAATATAAATGTCAAACATTTTTCAAAGAAAAGTTGACATAATTCATTAGTGGCATATATACACAAAGTTAAAGAGTGCTTCATGTGGCATAAATGAGGTAAATATAATGTTTTCTCTTTTTAAATTTTGTTTGGTTTTGAGGAGGGTTTTTAAAAATTATTTTTAGAGATGGGGTCTCACTCTCATGCCTAGGCTGGAGTGTACAGGCACAATCACAGTTCACCGCAGCCTTGAACTCCTGGGCTCAAGCAATCCTGTCACCTCAGCCTTTTTTTTTTTTTTTTTTTGTCTTATTTTAACCATTCTAAGAGATAACCAATAGTCTAGAGCAAAGCAGTATCAGTGTATTATATGTTTACTGCATGTATAAAAGTAAAATATATGACATCAATAAAACAAACGGTAAGCAGGAAGAATTGAGAGTATACTATTGCAACACTATCAAACTATATATAAAATGGTACAGTATTATTTCAAGATAGACTGAAGTTAATTAAAGATACATGCATTAGGGATCCTTGGATGACCATTAAGCTTTTTTTAGCATAAGCCTAGAGTGAATATATAATGAAATCACAAAAATACTCAATACAAAGAAAGCAGAAAAAATTAGGATAAAGGAAACAAAGAACAGATGGAACAAACAGAAATGAATCTAGAAAGAAGATATATTTTAATTCAGCAATATCACTAATTATATTAAATATAAACAGTTAAAATACACCAATTAAAAGTGGAACCTTGGCAGATTGAATTATAAAGTATGAACCAATTATATGCTATGTACTAAAAACTCACTATATAAAATAGGTTTAAAGTTAAAGAATGGAAAAGAATATATCGTGTCAACACTAATCAAAAGAAAATTGGAATAGCTGTATTAATATCAAAGTACAATTCAGGACAAGAAATATTATCAGAGATAAAAATGGTATATTATATAATGACAAAGAGGTCAATTCACCAAGAAGATATATATTTCTTATATGTGTATGTACTTAACAACAGAGCTTCAAACTATGTAAAGTAAAAACTTATAGAAATTTTAAAATAGCCAAATCCACAATCAGAATTAGAGACTTCAATACTACTCCCTTAGTGATCAACAAAACAAAATCAGTAGGCAAAAAAAAAAAAAAAAAAAAAAAAAATTTGAGAGATAAGTATTAGAAAATCTTCAAAGCAGCCTCAAACAACTCATAATTTATTGAATACTCTCTCCAATAACAGAATATACAATCTTTTCAAGTGCACGTGAATTTTAGGACAGGGTAATAAAACAAACCTTAATTTTTAAAAACTAAAATAATAGAAAGTATGTGCCCAAGCCATAATGTAATGAAACTAGAACTCAACAACAGCAAAAGATATAAAATATTCCCAATATTTGGAACTTAACCAACACACTTTTAAATAATCAACGCAGTAAAAAGAAGTAACAAGGGAAATTAGAAAATATTTTTAATCAAATGAAAATAAAATAAAATATATTAATATTAGATGCAGCTAAAGCACTGCTAAGAGGGAAGTTTATACATCATAAAAGGAAAGAAGAAAGAACAAATTATTTCCAAAGCAAGAAAAACAAAGAAAATAACAGAAATCAATGAAATTAAGAACAGAAAAACAACAGAGAAAAATTAATAAAACAAAAAATGAGGTATTTGGAAAAAAACACAGATAGATAGGTAGGTGGATAGACAGATAGATAATCCTCTAGCCAGACAGATCAACAACAAAAAAGACACTAAATAACAATATCAGGAAATAAAGGGAGAAATTACTGTAAATCCTAACAACATTTAAAAAGTAATAATTAACTAATATATCCATAAATTCAACAACATAGATGAAATGAAAAAATTTCTTGAAAAACCCAAAGTGTCAAAAAATCACTTAAGAAAAAAACAAATAACTAGCTTACTCTTATATCTATTAAATAAATTGAATTTTTGTTTCAAAACCTTCCCACAAAGAACAATCCCAGGCTAAGAAGGCTTCGCTGAAAAATTCTAACAAACATCAAAAAATAATAATTATTATTATATATAAATTTCTAAAAAGCCTACAGAAAAGCAGAAACACTTCACAACTCATTTTATGAAGTCAGCATTACCCAGAACCAAAGACATTCCAAGGGAAACAACAGACCAATATCCCTAATAAAAATAAACGGAGAAAAATCTTTAGCAAAAGACTAACAAATCGAACCCAGTAATACATTAAAAGAATACCATAACATGACCAAGTGGATTTTATACAGGCTATGCAAAATTGGTTCAACTTTCAAAACATTGTGTAAGTTCAACTTACTAAACAAGAAAAGTCATATGATCATCTCAATAGATGTAAAACAGCATTTGACAGAGTTTAGCATCCTTTTTTGATAAAAACTCCCAAGAAGTTAGAATACAAGGGAACTTCTTCACCATAATAAAGAGCATCTACGGAAGCCTGCACCTAACTACTACAAGTAATAGTGAAAGACTGAAAGGGTTTACACTGTTTAAAATTGGGCAAGGATATTCACTCTCACTAGTCTTTTTTAACATGATAGTAGAAGTCCTATCCAGTGTAATCAGTCAGGAAAAAGAAATAATAGACATTTGATATTGGAAATAAATAAAACTAGAGACAACCAAAATATTCCTCCCCTGATCAATCAACAAAATGGTGCGTTCATTCAATGGAATATGATTCAGCCATTAAAAAGGGAAAACTACTGAAACACACAACAACATGGATGAATCTCAAATGCGTTATGATAGGTAAAAGAAGTTGGACTCAAAAGACAACAAACTGTGTAATTCCATTTACATGACATTCTGAAGCAGATAAAACAACAGAAACTAAAAATGTATCCACATGTGCCTGGGGCTGGAGTAGGGAAAGGACTGACTAAAAAGGAATGTAGGAGAATTATCTGACATAACAAAACCACTTTATACTTTGATTGCGGTGGTTGCAAGACTATGTCTATTTGTCAAAAAGCACAGAACTATACACTAAGGATGAATTTTGTTATAGTAAATTATACCTTTAAAAAGGAAAAAAAGAGAATATATGTACATGTAAATTTTAGAATGAGATTGCTTCTTCCTATAATAAATGTGGATATTGGGTAGGTTCTCAAACTCTCTCACCATCAATTTTCTCAACTGTAAAATGAGAATAATATTATCTACCTCTTAACGTTGTTAGCTTTTCTTGTTGCTGTTCCATCTCCTGCCCAACACTATGCTCATTGTTAAAAAAACAGAGATGATCTATGGCATGGTCCCTACCTTCCTGAAGGCTCCAATCTAGTGCATAAGCATTTCTTGAAGGGCCAAATAGACACAATGGTTTTACTGCCATTAGATTTTATAATTACAAAAATTAGCAAAATCAGTGGTAAGCCAAATTTACATTAATTTCAAATATAGTTCAACCTTTTCAAGAATTTTCTAAAACAGAAATCAAAATTTCAATTCAAATCTAAGAAATTCTACTGCTGGCCCAGATATTTCTAGAATAACTCTACAGACAATTTTAAAAGACTCAAAATTGCAATTATCCGTAGTTTATCAGGTTCAGAAAGAATATCAGTCTACCTCATTTTTACCAATTTATTCTAGCATTTCAATGTTACCTTAATTTGAATGAGTATCAAGAATTATAAGAAAAATGTGAAATTGCTTCCTTGTATGCCAAGATTTCATATATCTGGATAAAACTTTTCCCTAAAAAGACAAAGCTAATAGGAATCCTGGAAAATGAATGAACTAGGAGGTACTCAGAAAAGTCTGCTGTCTCCAACAATAAGGACATTAATAACCTTGTATCACATAAATGATTCACCAATCTGTGTGACTTATGTGTGCATTACAACTACACATCACGCACCCATACCCAACTCCCTTCTGTCCGTATCATTTACCTCTGTCCCCTATCCAGGTGGAATGTCCTTACTTCAAGGTTAGAGTATTAGACGCATGAGAAATTCATGTTGGGACACACTACCGCTACTTGTAGAGAGTCAATTACACTTTTTTATCATATTCATTATACATTTATTGAAGACCCAACATGTGCTCAGTTCTCACAGCATAAATCTTTATAGGCAGTTTTTATTAAATGTGTCCTTACCATTCAGAGCTAAAAGAAAATCAAGCTATTCTTATTTCAAAGATTTCCTATCCACTGTCATCTCACATCACGTCTCAGTGAAACACTGTGAGAAGTGTTCTTGGAGTGTTATCAACTAAAAATTCTGCAATAAGTATGGCTTTTTGCACAGGATTTCACACTGAATAATATAGTAACATCTAGAAATTCCTAACCTAGAAGAAAAAAAGAACATTTTACAAGATATTTTTAAAAGCATGACATGTGCACAAGGGGCTTCTCAAACAGAATCCACAGACTCGTTTTCACCATTTCACTTGCTCAGAACTATTGTTTTGAAATATGGAACTCCCAAACATGGATCTTCCGAAGTTTTATATATTGAAAATATTCCTAAGGATTGTATCTCTCAATCAGAAGCCAGTATGTGGGAAGGTATAAGAGAGAGAAAAATAAGATCCATATAACTAAAACCAAGTCAAAATAAAATAAGTAGAAATGCTTTTCGGAGGAACCCAGAGAAAATGATGACTGGCTAGCTTACCTTGCTTTTTTCCATTAACAGTTTCTAAAGTACCAGGGAGCTGGCTGTCAAAGCCATGTTGAAGGCCACTTCTTTGCTTTTCAAGGTGATGCTCTTCCTCAGCAATAGAAGAAAGCACATGTGGTGACTTGTGATCATCACTGGCCTGATTGGGCCACTGGGACATTGTGGAACATGAGTCCTTTGCATGTTGGCTAAGCCTGGGGCTTGAACCTTGGGCAGAGTCCTGCAAATCACTATTACAACATGATAAATGATCCACTTCCAGAAACAAGGAATTTGCATCCTCTTGACTCCAATCATTTTCTTGCTCTTCAACTTCAAAGTACGTTTCCTGAATCTGAATATTATCTAAGTCCTGATCTAGCTTGTCACTCAATTTAGAGTCTTGTTTGCTTATGTTAACCAGCGAAGCAGATAGCACATCTCCTGCTTGCTGGAGAGCTTCATAAACCCGAGATATCCAGGAAGAGAAAGGCTGGAAGAAGTTCTGAGCATCCTGAGACGCCATGGCCAACACCATGGCCAGCTATCTGATGTCTACAGCGTCCGCTTGTTCAGTTCCTCCAGTGCTCTGGACTGAATGTGAACTATAGAATAAGCATGTTGAGAAATTAAATTGGAGGTCTCTTAATGGCTGTGAATATTTCACTCTCAAAACTTCCAGCTGAAACAGAGGAAAGAAATACTTACACCTGTTAAAGTTACAACCTCAGACCCATCACCAGATACCTGCAGACAATGTCAAACAGCATTTGGTCACAAAAAGAGAGCATCATGGAAATCTTAAAATAGTTAAATAAAAATGACTGTGAAAGTCTAGATGTAGATTATTTCAATGCCTATTCACCTCCATGGCCACGTGGAAAACATCCATTAGCAGTAATGGGTTCTGTTTATGTGGACTGAGATAATTCTATCCCCAATAGACCACCCTTAACAGTGTGAAAAGGATAAATGAATCTTCATTAAGATCCCGTTGGGCATGACATTTCAACATACAAAAAAGGTCGGATGTTTCATCTACGAATCTGCAGATCCCAGAGAGCTGACTAATAAGCATCTCTGCTTTATGACACTAAAGTTTATACTTTCAAAGGAAATGTGTGTCTGGAATTAAAAAGCTTTAAACAAATCTTAAAATAGGATTTTACATTTTTATGCAATCTCTAGAAGTCATATCTATTCTTGGGGAGCAATTGCTGAAAAACTGAAGGTGGCAAATGGATTATCTAGCTTACTGGAGACATGTCCTTGGAATCTCATTGCTTTTGTCTATGTTCCAACCTCCTGAGGATAGATTGCTCTCTACAACCTTTGAGACTCCTGAGACACACCTCATCCCACAAGATTTGCAGACTGAAGGAAACAGCTCCAGAACATTAACAGAACCACAGAACACTATGAAAACCCTAGAGCTAAATATTTACACTTTTACATGTATATGTGCATACAAGGTATACATATGCATATGTGTGTATATTAGATGTGTTTATATCTTATTGCTATTACAGTGCTCATCCACAGCTCAAGATGAATGTTACAAATGACTAGAGGGCCTAAACTCACTGCTTAAACTTAATTGCCCAGTATTTGGCATAGCAATAACTTCCTCTGACTAAATCGACTAGCTATCCCTTAGGTTTCAAGTCTCTTGACCTCAGCCACTGCATGTGATATGACTACTTACCTTCTAAAAATTTCTTATTAGCCATTCATGGATGCATTGACTTATGCAATAAACAAATATTGATTGTCTATTAAATGCTTAGCACACTGTCGGTGATAAGGTAATCCTGAGGGCTTTGTCTCCAGAGAGCCCACCTTTCAATTAAAGGGAAACTGAGCTCTCTGCACTTTCCCCGTATGCTGAATAATTCCTGTGTCCCTCTTTCAGGCTCCTCCTTGTCTTCCCACCACCTACATGTATACAACCAAATCTTGTCCTATGGCTTCCCTTCCTTATTATATTCACCAGCTGGGAGAGTAAGCCCATCCCTACATTTCAATTAATACATTTTTGAAACTCCAAAATATACATCTCTAGTCTTTGCTCAATTTTTCTTTCCAGACTTTTATCTGTGGCTGTCTAAGCCAGTGATTCTCAAACACTGGTGTGTCAGAACCACCCGCTGAGCTAATAAAGAACACAAAGGCCCAGGCTGGTTGAAGGGAAAGGTCCTGGTCTGAACCTTGGGATTTTTGACAAGTACTCCAGGTGAGTCTGACACCCACGAAAGTTTGAGAAATACTGATAGACTTGGATGTCTCACTAAAATCTCAAATTCAGTTCATTCAAACCTAGAAGATCACTTTGCTGCAAGCATTCATCACTCTAGACTCATAACACGGGTGATTTTGAATTTCTCTTGTCAACACTCCCTTCTTGCATTCCAAATTCTGTTAGCTTTAGGTCTCCAAGCACTGTCTTTCAACATGTTTTGTACAGTTATCACATTTCCCACACTCTAGTTCCCTCAGATACTACATACCTAGTTCACTTCACACTCTCTTCTTTCCTAGACTCAATTCACTCTCTGTTTGCTCTCCATAACCTGATTTTATATAAGGTTTATGCCTGTCTCCTCCTCTAGAATGGAGGCTCCATGGATGGTAGGAATTGTCTGTTTTGTTCTCTATTTTATCCCCAGTTCCTAGAAACAAATTCCACTAAAAATCATGCATAAAACACCACCTAACAGATATTATGTACTCGGTAACTTTGCTAATGGATAAATCCTATCCAGAAGTGCTGAAAAGACGTTAAACGATGTTATCACGTAAGTTCCCTGCAGAGTAACAACAGTAAGCATCCTTTTGCCATTTGTTCCATCCCATTTCACCGCCCAAAGTTTTTGAGGTTTTTTTCTCTGCAAGTATTTTGTATAAATTACCAAGCTACAGTGCATCCCTGATTTACTAGTTTCCCTCTCAGATTTCAGCGACTTTAGCTCTCACTACTCTCTTTTTGGTAAATGAAAATTTTTAAGCCAGAAACGACACGTTTTCCTTAATCATTCTTTCCATCATTCTATTATACACAGAAAACTTTGTTTGTTGTTGTTGTTATATTGAATTTTTTTATTATGATTTAAGTTCTGGGATACATGTGCAGAATATACAAGCTTGTCACATAGGTATGCATGTGCCGTGGTGGTTTGCTGCACCTATCAACTCATCATCTAGGTTTTAAGCCCCACATGCAATAGGTATTTGTCCTAATGCTCTCCCTCCCCTTGTCCCCAACCCCCCAACAGGCCCTGGTGTGTGATGTTCCCCTCCCTCTGTCCACGTGGTCTCATTGTTCAACTCCCACTTTTGAGTGAGAACATGTAGTGTTTGGTAGAAGGCTTTGTTTTCATATGCAACCCAATATCTCTGAATTTGGACCAGCAACTTTTTGTTCAAATCTTCAAATCAATACAGACCATATTCTCCACCCCATATCCCCTTGATCTCTATAATTTCTATTCATCAAAACAAAAATGAAAAAATTCATTTTTTACCAAAATTGCCATTTTGATGAGCTGGCAGTTTTTATAAAAAATGAATTTTGATCACTTTCCTAGTTTTAAAGAAAAAAATCCATGATGGTTACCTATTACTTAAACTGCAAAGTTTGAGCACTGGAGCTGTCAAAATCACTACTCATTCATGTTTGCTGATACAGCGTTTTTTCAAAATTACTTTGAATCCTTCCAACTTAATATAGTCTTCACCTCTCCCTGTTGTTTACAATCCACTTGCTTCACTCATTTCTATGTGGCCAGCCTGACCCCTGGATGCATTTGAATTTCCAAGCCCTACCCTATCAGATAAAGTTCAGATTCTTTACTGTGGCACACAAGAAGAGAAATACCCCCCAAAAAAATAAATAAATAAACAATCAGCACCATCCAACTGGGCTTAGTGCTGGGGGGATCCTAAAGGCCTCCTCCAAAGTGTAAACACTTTAATTCCTGAATCGCTGGGTCTGAGGAGGTCTAGAGGTGCAATAGGACACTGAAACGGGCTTCAGATCGGTGGCAACTTATCAACCAGCTTGGAACTAATTTCAGGACAACAGCAACTCACAGAGGACCTTTTGTTCTCACTGAATACCCAGCTATGTCTGAGCTGTCCCCAATAATGCTGCCGCACTGTGAGAACTCAACCTTTCCTTATCACTCCTCGCTGTAAAGTCCTATGTGCCAGTCTCACTGACATACTAAGCATCTTCCAAAGTGACTGTGCTCTTTCCTGGCTTCTGTTTGTTTTGCCCAGGATGACTTCTCTCCCTAAACTACCTGATACTCACTTTTTATGAGGAAATGTTTATTGCTTCCTCTGTCAACTCTTCATCTACAATCAAAGGTGTGGCCTCAGAGTGCTTCAAATGTGCCTTTATGATACAGTGTTTCCCTCGGTATGATGAATATTTGTCAGCCTTCCTCTTCCAATGGACTGGGAGCCCACAAGTGCTGGGGCTATGATTATACATTGTAGCTGCAGAATCCGCACAAGGCAGGGGCTCTGCATATTCCATGAATGAATGAATGAATGAATGAAGTTACTAGTGAAAACATTTGAGGCTAAGTAAACCTGATTCCTTTCTATTTATTCATCTCTAAAGTGGCATTAATGCACTAGATGACCTCTAACACTTCCTTTCTGCTCTGAAAGCCAAGAATTTGCCATTGCGTGCCACAAAACATTGTAATGTTGAGGCCAATACAACCAGAAGCAAGATGCCTTTTCATGAAATAGTTCAGTACTTTTTTGTCAACAACTATTGTTAGATGATCCCAGAATAATTGGAAAGAAGTCAAATCTCAGTCTCTATATAAAAAGAGTGCCCAGTTGTTATATTCTAAAATACTCAAAAAGGAATGAAACTTACAGATAGAATCTGAAAAAATTACCTAGTTAGCAACACCAGATACCTTTCATTTTATACTAAGTCAGCCTAAAGCCATAGGGGCTCAGCAATGGCAGAGTAACCACAGAGATATCTTGGCGGCTTAGGTAAATTTCAACTTGATTGGTAGAGCAAACCAAGGATAATAATGCCAGATATACACTCTATCCTACTTCTTTGGTGGCTTTCTTACAGCTAACGAGAAGACAAAGTGGTTTCTGGTATTTTAGAAAATACACACACACAGACACTAAAAATAGTCAAAAAGTCTAGTTCCCTAGGTTAGAAGGAAAAATACATTTAAGGTCTTGTCATATCTGAGAAAAGTCATTGTTACAATGGAAATAGTTCATGATTTCTCATTATTATGAAAGCATAAAATGAGACAACAAAAAAGATTGTGGTGTGTGTATGTGTATGTGTTTAACATACAAATTCCTATCACAAACATGAGCTGGGAAGATTTGCAACATATTGAAGTACTCAGAATAAACTGGCAATCTAAGAAATAATTAGTAACAATTGATAAAATAAGGCCATAAATAAATATATTCTTAAAGGCTACTTTTTAAAATTTTTGGTTTAATCAGAATTATATTTTAATTAAGATCACTTTATACACAGGAAATGGCTAAGCAGTAAATATTAAAGAGTTGTGTTTCTATAGAAAGAAAAACTATCCAATTCCTGAGCCACATGTTTTATTAAATATTTTTATTGTTCTCACAGAAGCTAATTGTGAAGACAGAAGTATTCCATACCAGAATAAT